ACCCTTGCCCCCCCCAGCCGAGCCCCGCTGTTCTGGAGGCTGCTCTACCCTCAACCCCGCATGCAGCTGCCCCCAGCTGCTGTGGCACCTACACGCGGAATCGGAGAGGGCGGTGTGCGAGGAGCGCCGGGAGCTGTGGGATGACAGCGACACTCCTTCCCGGCGTCCTGGCTGCTGCCGCACTGCCCCGCGTCCAGGTAGCTGCCGTGGCTCTGCGGGAGCGAAGCACAAGTGGTGAGACCGTCAGCAGGAGGGGACGGTGCTGGAGGGGACTTCCACCTCCCTGACCGCTTGTTTGCAGAGAAAAATAACAAGATAGAGTGTGTAGAGGGTCAAACTGGTGCCGCGTTGGGTCAGCCCCTCTGTGTTCACCTTAGATATCCCCGTGCAGACAGGACCCCCAGGGCAGGGGGGGTGGAACTAGATCCCTTCCAACCCGAACCATTCTATGATTCTATGATCACATCCCAGGCACCCTTGGCTTTGGGGTGATGCCACACACCTCTGTCCTGAGACACCCATCCAATGGCAGCAAGTGGTGGCAGAGGGGAGTGAACGCTGTGGGGGTTGCTAGCGTGTCTCCCCCTCCCGCTCTCCTGCCCGCGGAGCTGGGTGCTAATGAAATATACTCATAATTAACTTCCTTCTGCCCGATTTCTTCAGGGATGTCACAGCTGGTGGGCCGTGGCACACTGGGGAGCAGTGGCAGGGTGACAAATGGAGGCGGCGGGAGGGTCTGGCTGGGGAATGGTTTTATTTGTTGCAGAGATGGAGAGAGATGGCTGGGAAAGGACACGGAGCAGCGGCATGGGGACATGAGCTGCAGCCCCAGGAGAACCTACAGCAAACGGCTCCTGCAGGGGACAGGTACCAGGGGCTACTGAGGGCTGCAGCCCCGCTCGCTGCTCCCTGGGGAGCGGTCGGTCCCAGTCAGGTGTTCTAGGCAGGAACTGGCAGCACATCCCAGCAGAAACGGCCTAAGCTAGGGAATATTAATGGCTTCGGAGAGACAGATGCCACCTGGCAGACAGTTTATGGCAAACAGCCCATACCTGCTGGGTGGCAGGGGACTGTTTGTCCTGCAGGACATGGGTGACCATGTTGGCCATGCCACCACCCTCCCCACGCCTCCCATGGAGCTCGCCAGCTTCCTGCTCCCCTCCAGAAGATCAAGCAATGGGAGTGATCGCTCTGCCTCTCCTCCTTACATCAACAGATGCAGCTTAAGGGCTACAGAAAAATATCTCAGCTCTCTCATGGGAAGGGGAAAAAGACACAGAAGCATGTTGCAATGACAGAGAAGCAGCTGTTTGCAAGGTGGGTCCTTGCTCAAGTGTGAAATGTTCCTGGGGCAGCTCCCCCTATGCATCCCATAAAGAGCTTCTGTAAAATAATGTCTGAAGAGCAATGAGGCTAATGGAATGATAATTATGCAACAATCCACCTGAAATTACTTTGATTACTGGTCTTATTTGTAAACTACTGAGAGGAAGAATTTAAAAGTCATTAAAATGACCTTGTTGATCAGGCAGGTGTGTTGGGATGCCAAACTGATTCAAGCCATGGAAATTATTGCACTGGTCACAATACTACACTTGATGCCATCCTGCCCAAATGCGTAAACAGAGCTGAAATCTGGGATAAGAATGTTTTCCCTTCACTTCCAATCTTCGTTCGAGTACCAGTGACAAGCTGGAGATAACAGAACAGGTACCCCGCGGTACCACCCTGCGTTTGGACCCTCTGTGCCTTACTGACAGTGACAGTACAGCAACCTGGCCTCCAGCTCCTGCTCCTGCTCTACTTTTCTGCTTCTGAATGGAGGCGGTTTGACCTGTCGTTTGAGTAACAGTCTCAAAAAGATGATGAATAGCAGAAGAGCAGCAACACGACTGCTGAATTTGCGGTTATATGCCTGAACCAAGACGGGCAGTTCAGAGCCACTCAGTGGAAGACTTCTCAGAGTCTGCTTGAGTCAGAACCCAGCTGAAGGCTTGGAAGGAGATGGGAGCAAAGGAGAAGGAGATGAAAGAACAGATATTTTCCTGATTGGTAAGTGATTACTCAGGTTGGTTTAAACACCTGCTCAGTCAACTGCGAAGGGACATGGTACCTTTAGAGAAGAGGATGCCAGTTCAATTGATGACTCCTCAAGGCCAAGATCTCGCCTTCTTTCAGCTCGAACTTCCGCATAACTAAAAATAAAATAAATTTAAATACAATTTTTCAGTCTAGATATTGTTTACTGTATGGTAACTACTCTACCTTACAGGTCACTACAGCGTTTTCATGTTGAGTCACAAGCTTTGCACACACACACATGCACACACACACACACTCTCTCATATACATCATCACACAGCCTTGCACTCAGTGAATAATTGCACGTGTTGAATATCCACGGATTAGAAACAACAGGGCAGCATCCCAGTCCCACAGCGCTCAGGACTGCAGAGCCCATATGATTAATTGCACTAATCATTCCAAGTACAAATGTAGATGCTCCTTTGCAAATTTTGGCCCCCAATCCCTTCAAGCAAAACTAATCTAAAACCAAAGTGCACTTGGTCATTGAAGTCAAAATGGGTGTCTTTGTCCTCAGTACAATTTTTCTAATAAAGGAGATTCCCATTTTCCATAAGCAGGCAGAAAAATGATCCTACTGCCATAGCAAATGTACATTCATTTTATAACCTGCTGAGGATCAAGAATCAATTTTTTGCATGTTGCATGGTAGCTTGGCGAGACCTAAGCCAGTGCCCCGGGGAGGAAGAGACCAGGTCCATTCTTCCTGGGGGGTCACAGCGCCGTGTTGCACCCTGCTACATCGCAGTGAACATCCCTCACTGCGGTGGAAGCTCTGTATATGAACCAACAGCTGCTCAGGTGCAATGCGAGGTGCAGGAATCCCCAGGAACGTGCCTCTAAAAGCATGCATTTGTTTTCCTTACTATTTTTTCTCTTCAATAATAAAATATTTACAGTAAATAATGGCACGTGATTCACCATTGGGATAAATTGGAGAGGATGTTTGAAAGACCCTCTGAGTGTTTGTGGATCGTGGGCACTGAAAGGTGCCCCCCAGAATTTAGGGGGCTGAAATATTAATGGGCCATAACCTTCATGGGAGGCAAAAGAAGCTGCTGAACTGAACTCACTTATATCACTGTAGGCAATGAATTTTCCTGAAATCATATTTCACTCGTGAGTTTCAATAACGTATTCTAAATCTTAACTATATGAGACAGAACTGAATTTCAAAATCTATGCAGGACTGTATCACTAGGTTTAAGAGGCACTGGAAGAAGAAACAAGAAACAAGTTCATGCACAATAAATTCAGAGCTTGAATGAAGCTGAATTCCCTGAAGGACAGCAGAAGCAACACAGCTCAGAATCAATCCCTCTGTCTAACATTTGCTTACGATGACACTTGACTTGTACTTTATATCAGCACACACAGCTCTGCTCGCTTACACCCGTTTAGTGGTGTAAGGTGTGCTCAGTCTGTGTTTCAGAATATCCCAGTTTATTAGTGTTTGTTCTTCTAGATGTTTGACAAGAAAAAGGGGGACCAGCAAAAATTCACAAATTGATTCCTGACGCAGCGAGCGATACGTTTACTCGAGTTAACAGAGCAAACCAGTATGTCACTATTTTGCAAGCCCTTCAGTAAAAACATTCTCAATCTTAACACAATCTTTTTGGAGCTGAGTAATCAAGCAGATTCCCCTCCAGAAGGTGCCTATCACAGAGCATCCCACACCCGCATCGCCTTCCAGCACCGGTTTGCAACTGAGCACAAGCAGCTTCCCACTAGATGGGGATCCTGGGCTGAATTTCAGGTAAGGAATAAGGCTGGCGGGGCAGCAGCTAACTTCAAATCATAAATATTTAAAGCTCTGATCAAAAGGGTTTGTAGGAGATGTATGATCCCATTCATGCCCATAAAGCCATCTGATTCTTAAGAGCTTTAATTCTTCCTATGGCTATGTCGTCATCGCTAGGGATAAAAGGGGAATGTAACACACTGATAGACTTGGCCAACAGTGGCTTCCAGGCTTTTGGCCCAGTTGCCAAAAAACACAAAAATAAAAAAAAAAAAAAGAAAACACATTATGCCTTTCCCCACGTTCCCTGTCATAATAGTTTTAGGGAATTGACACCATCTTAGCGTGTCAATACGCACAGCAAATATTTGGCTAACACAAAACAGAAGAAGAAAAAATAATGGATGACCACATGCGACACACATTACAAAGTGTTTAGTGCTCGCTCCTACCTAACTACCAGGTGTGTGCAAACGATGAACTCGGGTTTGGAATTCCACTGGTGGTAGGTGATGTAGTAGTGTGTCTGCAGCCATATCCACTGCTGGCCTTTGGTCAGGAACCGATAGTAACAGGACTTTCCTTTTCCAAACTGCATCACTGTTCAACAAAACAGAAAGCAACATATAGCAAACAGAAATTTCAAGGTGCAAAGGCCATTAAAAAAACATTTCGTCCCACTAGAAAAACCATTTCGTCCCACACGCCTCTTGCACTCTGCGACTGCACTAAAATGGCTCTTGTGGCTTTGTGAACACGACAGATGACACAGAACCCCATCCTGAGCTTTTATTTGGGTTCTTTTCTGCTACTGATTTTCAGGAGTGCTCTTTGCTATTTTGAGATTGTTCTTCTAACTAATAATTGGCATACATAACTAGCTGCATTCTCACAACTTTTTCCTGGGCTCCTCTGAAATAAGCATGAATGACATTAATGAAACAAAGCACTGGCCTTTCACAAGTACATGAGAATGCATTTCAAAGACTGGGGGCTTGAAGTCAGGATCCTAATAATGGCATAAAACCATAAGATAGTGGAGTTTTAGCAGTTTAACTGAGAGTTTTCTTCCAAGAGATGATCTAAATACACCAGACTTGGTACGTATTTCCAGGGTATGTCCAGCAAAATCTCAAGTGGTGTAATACAGCTGGAACATAATGAGGAGAACTACATTAAATAAGCACATTAATTGTTCCCGGACCGCTGGGAGTACAAAATGAAACATGCTCATTTAAAATACTTGCAATTAATGCAAAGTAAAATACAAACGCGGTTTAAGCAAACCCATTTGCCTTCACAGAAGGCAAGATGCCTGCCCAGAGTGATCAGCCTGATGAACAGGAGCTTATCAAGCCACACTGATCCAATATTTTTGCTCACCTGCACTCCTCTACTTTGTCAAATATCAGGACTAAATTTTATAGTGATCCCACTAACAGTGACAGGCTTTAGCTGAAGCACTTAGCAAAGGTCTTCTGGCTAGCATGCCATGCCAGGGATCACTCAGCTCCTGGTCCTGACAGAGATTTCCTGAAAGAGCTTCTGTAAGTCATGCTGACAGCACCTTACTCAGTCCCCTTGCACTGTAAGATTAAAAGATCTTTGCCTTCAGGTGCTTTATGCAAATACTCTTTTAATACGTACGAGGGGATCCGTGGCTGGCAGAGATGTAGAATATAAATCACCGCTGAACAATCCGATCCCACTCTCAATACTGTTACCACCTACATCAAACTGCACACACCTGTTACCAACAGGACATCTTTGGTTAAGTAGCTCACTTCTGGCTGAGTGGTCTTTTAAGCAAACACCATTAAAAGTACTGTACTTGAGAGCAATTAAAATATTCCTTTAATATTCCCATCTCCACGTTTGCTGCACTTGACCCAACTTGCACCTAGCCCCTTCCACAGCCTCCTTCGTGAGCTCAGCCAGGCAAGCCGCCTCCCCGCCGTCCGTTTTGTACCAGCACTTTGCCCTGGTGGGGCAGAAAAGCCGACAGGGAAGTGGAGTGGGGAAACTTGACATTGATGGAAGTCATTGTCTCCATTCTCTTATAGGTCTTTTAGCATCTCATCCATGTAAGTGGTAGAGGGTACATGGTAGAGATGGGGGTGGTTTGTAACTCAGAGACGAAGCAGCTTGTCTAGCTCCAGTGTGCTGAGAGGCTGGGGAGCTTCTTGGCATCCCTGCATCGTGCTGCTCTGCATCTCAGAGGGATTACAGCATCCCACTTTCTCCACTCTCTGGAGTCTCCTTATTTCCTTTTGACAAAACACTCTCCTTTCAAATGGAGAGAGCAGAGAGACAAACAGACAAGAGAGTTTGCCCAACATGAAACCTGTAAGTAATATTTCTTGGCAAAATATCTGATTACTTAGGTAACACATCTTACAAAACGCATAGTTACTTCTCATGACGGTGCTTGGCAATGTAAACCAGCCAGAGGACAGACCGAATTCCGGCTCAACATCTCAGTCTCAAGTGCGTGTGATAAAATGGAAAAATACAGTATCTCAGGGATAAAATGTCTCATATGCTCATCTGGGAGGAAAAGCACACTCATCAATAGTAGACCATGTCTGCTGCCACCTTTTCCCCTTCCTCAGACCAGCTCCAGCCTTTAGCAGGATATGGTGCTTCAGGAGCGGGCTGCATGGCTGCACTCAGGATAAGTGCTCCTTCTGACCCGGCTCCTCCTGGGCTTTGGCTTGTCACAGCATTTCACCTTGCATGAAGACGGACTTCATGGACATTCTCTGGTGTTCACACATCAGCCTGAACTGGACTTTTCTGCTTTTCTGCTTTACTTTCAGGCTGACCAAAAATGGGCCATTTTCACCCACAGGGAATCTGTATTTAGTACTTTCGCATTTAAAAATAATCCGAATCTCCAGAAGCATTTTACTAACAGTCAATGAGGTTCACAACATCTAATAGCACGGGCAGGTGATCCAAATGCTACTTTCAGAAGGCATTTTGGTGAGCTGAGCCTCCTGGCTGACTCGGGAGCCCAGGGGAACTGTGGGACCCCATGAACTGTGACAATCAACAAAACTCCCAGTGTTTGGGGCTGCCCTCACAAACTGGGGGCAGAGGGTATAAAGCTCTGACTTCCCACCTATTCATCCCATTTCACTCTCAGGCAACCTGTGCTCAAACATGGTATCTGCCAATTTGGGAAACCTGCACAAAGAGTTCCTGATCTGAGTGAATTCTGCAGAGATTCAATCTCCCAGGTGAGCGTCAGCTATGACAGTGTGTCATGGGAAGAGAGAGTTCCCTCACGCCCCAGATAAAGATGCTTTTTTACGATGACAGTAAAAGGTTTTGCACGAGTGACAAGTGAGATCAAAGACAGGCATGCTGCAGAGGAGAGGAACTTACAGTGTTCATGGCACCTAGCGAGAAGCTCCAGGTCATCTGCGTGGTAGTAATCATACCCTGACGTTCCCAGAACCTCAAAGGGTAAATATCCTATAATAGGTGGAGCCCTAGAACGGAAGCAAAGGGCAGGGAGTGAGCACAAAACCCAACGCTTTGACATCCTGGTAGATACGATGAGATATCAGCGACCAAAACCATCTCGTACGTTCAATTGGCAGCAAAATCGGGAGCGGATTTTCATAGAGACGACGATGTATTTTCGTATACAAGAAAAAAAAAACAATCAGCAAGGGAGAGGTAAAAATCAAGAAAATGAAAAGGTGTGTGTTTACTGTTTCACAGCCTATTCATTATGTGGGTGTAGAGCAAGGCATGTACGTACGCAAGTGACTCAATTCATCAAGCACGCTTGTGAGACACACAGCTTGAGAAACGCTACGGCTGTTCGTGCGCATAATGACTCGGAGCTGGAGTAAAATTATCCAGTAGGTTGGATGTAAATGTCATCTGGGTAGTAACTGGAGAAGAAAGAGTAAGTGGGAAGCTGCAATGTGTGTCAGGACCAGCTTGGGTAAAAGAAAAAGTAATTGTTCCCATGGAAAAGCTTGGGAAATGATAACCAGCAAAAATGTTTTTATGCTGATAGTAAAGATAAGAATAGGCATGGGGCTGACTTTAAGGACTGTTATTTCTATGGCAGGTAGAGGAGGAATTGAGGAAGTACATAGACAGGCACATCACAATGACTTACCTATTCTGCTGTCAATACTAGATTTTCAGTTTTCTGGGTAAAATATGAGATGATTTTTTTTTTAAGCAGGTGTCCTAACAACGCTGAGCTTATGCACAGCCTTCACCGGAGCCTGCTGGCTTATGATTATGAAACAACACTGAAATGTGAGGAGAAAACCACTGGTTTTGCCTCTGCTCCCTATACCAGCATGTCACTGTCTGTCCCCTAATGCTGAGTACCCTCCTGCTTGCACCAATTCAAGCACCACACGTACTCGGTGAGGCAGGACTTGTGCTAATTTGGCTCCACCTATTTGTTTTGGCTGCTGGATGTGCTGATAGTGTGAGGCTCACCTGCCAAGTTCTGCGTGTTCCTTGGGAATCAGGTGGCAGCGTGTTAACGAAATGGTCAATGATCCAAAACTGAAGTGGTCTGAAGGTGTCACTGCCTATCAAACATGCCTCTCCTGCTGCCCTTCTCTTGGTGTGTCGAGTGACCCTCTTAAAGAAGGTGAATGCCATAAGGTGGCCAAGAATACGTGCAAAAAATTATTTAAGTACATTTGGGTTTGAATGAATCAATTCTGAGTTTTCTGGATGTGGGAAGATCTGCTCCATCTTTGTACTCTCGAGAGATATGGTGGGCACAGATTATTCAACTAAAGAGAGTCCAGACAGGTCTAGAACCTCTCTCTGTCCCTGACACCAAATGGGAAACGGGGAGGAGGAAGCACAGCTGGGATCTGCTCAACGGCAGCCCCAGGAGGACGAAGGTCTCAGCAGGAGCTCCCGAGTCTCAGCACAAGGGGTTGGCTGGAAGAACCAGTCCTCCACACTGGCTGATGGCAAATCTCTTGAAACACAGCGGTCTCTGCCACAATACAGCTTTATTTATTCAAATAACTTTTCATAGAGCACTGTGTTCCTTTTCCTTATGTGACCCAGATTTCAGTTAATGATGATAATACGTGTATTTATTAAAGTGTCCTTCCTCGCTGTCTCTTTGGCAGAATGCGCCAGTGTCTCTCCTATCTTTAATGACATGCTTATATTCAAGACAATAATGTCTTTCAGATGCACATCAGATAAACATTTGAGCTGATCAGGAAGGTAGTATGCTTTCCTGACTTTCGCCAGAACTCTTTAAATGAGAAAGTGACCACAAAATGCCCCTCATCTGTCATTTGACAAGGAGCTGCCTTGCTTGTGGAACAATTTAAAAGTGTCTTGTTGGCTTCAGATCCAGCCTTGGGGCCTGTGACTCCCTGTGCAAATGGACACGCACGGTCTTCAGAGAGCCTTTCGAGCGTAGTCTCTTAGTAAATGAAGGGAAAATAAAGAGAGGAACACAGTGCAGAAGACAAATGGATCATTATTAAAGTTGATAGGTTTTCTTCCTCTAAACATATTTACGTGTAGAGCCAGAATATAGACTTTTTCCCTAGTTTTCTGATGTTTATCCAGATCTGTGGAGCACTTTCCTCCTTACCTATCTTTACTCCAATTCATGTGGTCATCATGATAGCAAAGGTCCCAATTCTAACTCGTGCTGGGTATCCTCTGCCCCTACTGACAGCACACCTCAGCGTCGGGCGGCGTGAGCTGACGCGAATAAGCAAGAAACAGTGAAATACCCAACAACATTTCCCGGTGTCCTGCGGGCTGTACTGGAAAGAGGTCTGAATTGGTGATTAAATGAGACAACCCACACAATCTCCCACTTATTGTTGGGTTTGGGCTCACCGCTCGCATCCAGGGCTGTCACGAACTCAGCCTCAGCATCTGCATCAGTTTGATTTAGCCTCAGTAACAAGTTTCCTCGCTGGGGATATCAGTGGGACCGGAGTGGTTGCAAATTGCCGGCGCAGAGAGATTCCTCTCCGAGTCATAACCCATATTCATCAAAAGGCTCTTTGATAGGTTTCAAAGCAGCTCCCACTCGCCTTATTCAGAGGAGCTGCCAGGACACAGCCCTTTGGAAAACCAGCTCACTTTGTCAGACTGTGAAATGTGGGGCTTAGGGCTCTTTTATGAATCTTAACATTAATCACCTGGTTATGAAAACGTGCATTGTTGGACAGGCCAATTAAAGTCTAACCCAAATCACCCCAGCAAGATCTCGACAACAGGAATAATGGGCCAACTGCCCCAAACCACCCAGCACTAACCGCAGGGCTGTTGCAGGGTCAGTTCCTCCACGCTTCAAGGTATGATGCGTGAGGTACATGTCTCATTTACTATATTAATGCAAGCTATTATTCATTTATATTTGTTCTCTCTCTTTCTTGCTGTAAGTGTGCAGATGATATTTAGGTTTTTTCCTCCCAAATATTTTTTTTTCCCCTACAGCCTTATTTACTAGTCTTCTATTTCTAGTAACAACTACCTTTGCACAGCTTGCAAAGGGAGGGACAATGGAAAGGGTAGGATTTTGCAATGTGCTTATGCATACATGTCAAATATAGAGAAGTAAAAGAGTGAACAAAACCTCCAGCTTCTTTTGAAGAAAATGAATCCTCTATTAATCAGCTGAATAAAGTGGTTCCAGTCTGTTTCATTCACCAAGCTGAATCTTAGCCCACCATACGGCATTGTCAAAAACAAATCTGCAATTAAATCATCTAATCCACTGTTTTTTCTTTTAGTTTTACAAATTCCGTCACTTCTCAAGGTGAAAATCAAAAGTCTATTGACACAGCGAAGGATTTAGAATGGTTCCTGGAAGCCATAGGTGGAAAACAGAGGAGCTAAACCAATACAGGGAACAGGACTCACACTGCTCAGTTTCAAAGACTGACTTAATATCTTGGGGAAGTTAGACATTTTTCTAGATATTTTCCTAACATTTTATATGGTTTCATACCTGCCTAAAACATGAAAGAAAGCAAAGCATTTAAGGATGCCTAATAAGTAAGTTCAGAGTATTATTACTTATTCAGTTGCACTTAATTAGAGCTATTCTACTTGGGATCTCAGGCAATAGCTACACAAAGCTTTCTATTTTTAAACTACTGTTTGTTTATTCTTCAGCGACTAAAACCAAATCTCTCACCTGTGGTCCAAGAATAAGAACTTCCATTCCAAACTATGCCTCGACGTAAATTCTTCACATGGCTCTTCCACATTGCAAAGCTCCTGCAAAACAGTTGGAGGATTAGATTAGATATCTAATTCTACGAAATGTCAAAAGCAGCCCTCTAAAAAGATCAAGGATGCACCTTCTCAGTATAACGAACCCTAGCAAAATACAGGGCTTTTAAAGCACTTGACTTATTGTCCCTTAAGGGATGTATACGCCTTGTTTTATAGATGCATAAACTGATGAAAAGTGGCTGAATAACTTGGCCTAGGCTGAATTCCAGAGCTAGGATAAATAGTCCAAGGGCCTATTCTTGCAGTCTGTAGGCAGAATTCCCCTGCTTTTTGTAAATATTGGTATCTGAAGACGGATAACAGCACCAAGTCCAGCCTAAAACCAAGCTAATGCTCTCTGGAGCAAGATGCACCTACAGTCGTTATTCCCATCATAGCATCATGGAATGGTTTGGGTTGCAAGGGACCTTAAAGATCATCTATTTCCAACCCCCCCTGCCATGGGTACGGACACCTTCCACTACACCAGGTTGCTCAAAACCTCATCCAACCTGGCCTTGAACACTTTGAGGGATGAGGTATCCACAATTGCTGTGGGCAACCTGTTCCAGTGCCTCACCACCCTGTTCCAGTGCCTCACCACCCTGAATGTAAAAAACTTCTTCCTTATATCTAATCGAAATCTCCCCTCTTTCAGTTTAAAGTCATTGCCCCTTGTCCTGTCACCACACGCCCTTGTGAAAAGTCCCTCTCCAGCTTTCTTGCCATCACTGCATTGCACCACAGGACACATACAGACCAGCAGAAACAGCCCACGAAACACGGTGTTCCCAGTGTTTCAAGATGCAGGTGGCCTTCTTACACAAAGGAGTGGTGGGATGTGTTTCTCTAAAGGCTGCCACTTTTCAAGCGGTTTAGCCGGTCACCTCGGACCGGTGCTTCCAGGGCCACCTGCTCTGAGACACCCCATCACACGACTGCCTCTCCTCCAAAGCAGCTCCCACTTCATACCTCGTCATTCCAGAAGACATAGGCGTGTCGTCTCCCACTCACAAACACAGCGGTGCCCCCTCTCACCTACCAACCCTCTGCACAAACCACTCGTGCTGCTGAAGGTGCTCTTGGAGGGGCTGCTGCAGCATGGCTCCCCTCATGACAGCCCAGCACACATGGTGGTACCAGCCCCGGGCTGACCCCGTGGGAAAGGGAAGGTGCAGTCGCAGAGCTCTCACCTTTAAGAACTGCGGTGTGACGAGACGGACAGTTGCTACCAGGCAGATCTGCTCCTCCGTGGCTGACCTGAAAGCTCGTGCAATAGCTGACTCAAAGCCATTACAGGAGGGTGTAGGCACTAGACACAACCAGACAATTTATTTAAGGAGAAGAGGAAGGAGAGCTTTCTTTTCATGTTAAGACAGGTACAATGAGTGATGGAACCCAAGCAACAAACTCCTCCTACCCACAAGGTGATACCACACTGATACATGCCAATGTTATTTAAAGCATGACCCTTTAGGCTCCGAGTTAGGCAGTTGTAACCACCTACCCCTGGCTTGCAGGGAAGCTGCATAAGACAGCTCTGAGCAGCTACAGTCTCTTTGTCAGCCTTTTTCCAGCTCAAGAGTCAAGATTTCACAGGTTTCTCAAACTATTTCATCTTTAAAAGTGCCATTTGATCGTCACGAGTGAAACAGAATAGGGTATTTTACTGATTGTTCGAATAAGGAGGCTGCTTTACAATTGGCGGTGGGTCAAACGGAGGTAAGATCAGTCCGGTGTCACTTCTTCAAGCACGGCACGGAGAAGAGTGCACTCTTCTGACCAACAGCCTCCCCACCACTTTTACATGAAAAATAACTGCCAACATACCCACAGCTCATTCCATCTCTGACGATTACGGGGCATTTTCAGCTGAAACAAGGCCTTTAGGAGGCTATGGATCCACACACAACTTAAAGGAGAGAGGTAGAGAGGTGAAGGTAGGCTGGAGTAGTAACTTACCATGAGTAAAATACTTAAAATCCACTACAAATTTCACATATTCATACATCAGGGGTTCATTTGGATCTAAGCTGCCTCTTGCTAAATGGCAGCAAAACTCTATTTGCTTTTCCACTGAAATGAGAGAAAGGGAGGGAGACATAGGCAAGGTTACTAGAAGCCTGCACTTTAGCACACTCCATATATCAAATCTATCTAGGTGTCCGTACCAACCCTGCTGCTGTGGCATCTGAGCACACCCCGCTGGGATGCTCTTGATATCCATAAGTAAATATATAACTACTAGGAGCAATGATCAGCTGGTTCTGCTTAAGGAAATGTATTCTCACCCTTTCTCCCATGGCTTTACAGCCACCCCACTATGCTGGGCGTGAAGCCCTGGCAGTATCGGTCAGTCGCATTTTCCCCTGACTTTGTGCATGCACGATTTCCTGCAAAGCTGTTAAGTAATATTGCTGTACTCTGCTCCGGCACTGCTCAGTAGCACCCAGATCCAAAGGGCACTGAAGTCACCCTAAGCCTTTCCATTAACGGTGGAGGGCACCGTGCCAAGCTCTTACTCAGTTTTCTGCCCCAGGTCTGAACTCCATGGATCAGACCATGAGGTCTTCAGCCAAAGGGAAACCAAGCCCAGGGCAGAACACCATCACGAGGGCTGCCCAGTTCCCACTGAGGCTTTCGGGGCAGCAGAGAGGGGAGGTTAATACTGGCTGGCCATGGCCAATCCACTGGGAAAAGGGGGCTCCCAACACAGGCTTGGTGAAACGTGGCTGTTGGGAAGATGCTGCTGTCTGCTCTGATGCTGGGGACATTTTCTGGGGGGAAGGGACATTTTGGGGCTGGGATAGCAGTCAGAGTAAGAGATCCAGATGTTCTGTTCAGATAGGAAGGCTGTTGCTTAAATGACAGGTAAGGTTTCTCACATGTCCTGCGCCATGCAAACTTCCTAAGGAACAAAGACTCTGCCAAAACCCTTGGGGATTTCTCCTGCCCTGTTCCTTCTCCCAAGCCCCTCACTCCTTTCCCAGGCTCAGTCCAACATCCTGCCCTGGGAAAAATATCTAATTGGGGCAACTTCACTGTCCTGTGATGCAAAGCCAACAGTAAAGCAAAGACGGTCCAAATCAAAGACCAAGTACTGGGAGCATGTAGGAACATGAGACGTGCTGCATTAAACCCTAGAAATATTAACTGCGGCAAAACAGAAGTGGCAGGCAGGAGAATTAAATAGCTGGAGAGCCCTGTGCAGGCTCCCCTGGGAGCCGTTTGCCTTTGGCAAATTTCCCTGACCGACAGACAAGAGCAGAGCTTACCGTTTAGAAAATCAGCTGCAACAGGATCCGTCATGAGCACGTGCGGAGAAAGGAGCTTGTACACCTCGCTCTGCTCCCGCTCAGGCAGAAAGTTTAATATATTTTGGTCCACCAAATCTGACTGATACAAAAGAATGCTTTGTCATGTTCAACAGTGCAGCCTGACACAACCACACGCCTTTTCATCCCGCAGCAGAGCACGGATGCTGCCGGCCTGGCGCGGATGCTTAAGATGAGGAAGCCCAGTCAATCTGCAGATGAGTCTAGGGCAGAATATAACCCTTAGGTTATTTCACCCCGGGGTTGCTATCTTTTTGCAACAGATTGAACGGGTCCCATAGGTTGCCCTTCAGTTCAGCCAGATGCAAGTTGGAGAAGAATGCCTGAGACCATGGGAATACAACACAATGAGAAACATCTTATCAAAACGAAAATTTTAAACATTTCCCTTTGGAAGCACGAGACAGAAGTGGGAGAGCTTCTCCTCACATCCTCCATTTGTCTTCCAGGCTGAACATCTGGCAAAATCAGCTTGACCTGCAAGTGCTTCAGTGCTGACAAACCCTTATATCCCGACTAAAGGGGTTCTACCAAAATGTCAGCACCTATTTGCTTCTTTGCACACCAGGACATTCAGCCAGGTTAACTCTGTGCTCAAATCTGTCCTCACATAGTGGCATTGGTGCCTCATGCTTGGCACCAGATAAAAATAAAAAATGTTTTTGAGGGGAAGGCAGAAACGTCTGTACCCAACAGCTAACTGATGTCTAGAAATTCTCCCAGAAAACTTTGAGGCCACATATTTGTTACTAAAGACCATGGGCTCAAAGTCGAAAAAAACAATGACATTAGAAGAGCATACATTCAGTTCTGAAATCATCTTTAAATTATCTGAGAAGAGCTTTGGCATGCACAGATTTCACAAGCATGAGATTTTCCGTATACCTGGTGGGATGAAGACCACCCAGACCCCCCTTCAGACATGCTGCCAAGCAGTGAGCTACAAGTATAGTGATTTTGCATAGGTTTTTTTTTAGCTAACTCACAGACTCTGGCAGAGAATCTGTTCTTCACAGGAGCTTGAGAAACTCCATAAGAGTTTGTTGGTTTATCCTCCACCCACAGCCGTTGCCTCTTTGGTTGGACAAAACCAAGTGCCAGCCCTGCCGTGCTGGGGCTGCATTAAGACATAGGAATGATTCTTCAACATATTGCGTTGTCAGAACTTACCGGTAAGTGTCCAAGCAGAGATGAGACACTATCAGATACATAAATAATAATCCCATCAGTTGTAAGAGCAATGAGAAAGCCATCTAGTGCCTAATGATAAAAGGCAGGCAAAAAGAAAAAAAAAAAAGAATTATGCAAAGGAACAACTTAAAACATAATAGGCTAATTTATTCTTTGGTGATGCTTCTAACAGCCTAAAACTAACATAAATCAATTATGGAAATGATAGTTCAATGTGGAAAAATAAAAATTACACATGCTGTCTAATTCAACACTCTTCTTATATTCTTATTTGCTCATTAATATTAAATTGACTTGTATTTTTCACCCAGTGTGCATTTACTTAACACGAAGCAAGACGGTGGTGGTTAAAATTTCTACACCCACACAATCCTGGTGACTTCAGTCACTTCATTATGTGTTCTGAATTACACAATAGTTAACTAATTCAGTGTGTAAGGAGATGTCAGATACCATCACGGCAAACCCAGCATTGTGGATAGATAGATGGAGGGATAGATAGATAGATAGATGGATGGATGGATAAGAAGAAACAGAAAAAAAAATACACAATGCTATATTTTTAGCAGTTTATGGACAATACGAACAAGATCTAAAGCCTTATTTATTTTGGTTAAAGCACTCATTTGTTAGGCTAGTGACACAACAATTTTAAAGTTTGTTTTGTTTCCCCTTTCTTATTCACAATGGTTTCTGTCCTGGAGCCAAAGTTCTCTGTCCCTTGTAAGTCACTGTACGTGCTCCCTCCTTGGGTGCTCTCCCTATTCTTCACAACATCTTCTTGTACCACTGACCCAGTGCCTGTCCCTGTTTGTCTCTAACACTCACCAAGGTCTGGGAGGTTTAACCTCTGGCCAGCACTGTGCACAAAGCCAACTCTTCTAAAGACACCGTGAGGCTGCTCTGCAGCTTCGCTACAGGGAGTCAACGATGTCACATTCAGCATCTTCCCCCACAGCCAGTGGTTCCCCACCTCACTGTCATACTCTGCCTTTGCTGAAAATAAGCCCTTTATGGAAAAAAACACTGATTTTAAGTAAACTGGTCAACAGTCTAACATAGTCTAGCAAGCCAACAGTTATTAAAGGGCTCTCTCTTCCCCGCCGCTTCTAAGGGGGGGGAATTTGTTTTGATTCAGCTGGAACAAACTAGCTTGTTTGGTGAGAGAAATTCCCAGAAAGAATGAACAGACTTTTCCAGGGAGGTGAGTCATGACGTCCTGATGAAAAGGAACAAGTAAGACACCGCGGCACCTCCCGGCTCGGCCCAGCATACACCCTTATTTTGGTGGGGCAAAGAGCACCAGCTGCCCACACAGGGTAGGAGATGTCCTCGCCAGAGGAGCGTGCAGCAAGAACTCAAAGTTGTGTCCTTAAGAAAGAAAAAATATTGGCTCATGGGGTGCTTCCAGATCAGCTACAGCTTTTAGAGGTGAGAGCACCAGAGCTGCTCTCCTGATGGCACTTAAAGGCGATCCAAGCAAAAGATACAGTGTTCGCATCCCAAGTACAAAGCCACGCAGCCAGAGGCAGCAAAGGCAGCAAAGGAAATGCTGCCAGGCTAATGGGATGTGGGAGGAAGAGAGCTGCTCTGCTTTTTTCCAGGTCCTTTCAAGTTTTTGCTAAAACTGCTCTAGCAGCACTTCTGAGAAGGGTGATTCTCTTTTTCTCTCTCCCCAGGCCAAATCTGGGCCAAACTGGTCTTCATTCCTAAGCGAAAAGCTGTTTATCTTTAAGAGGAAGCGATCGTATTTTTAATTCTGTGCCTGCAAAGCATTTAGCACAACACCAGTCCCTGTCACCTTTGTATTACATGTGTCATCAGAGTAGAAGTCATTAGCAGTAACATTAGGACCTACAGGTGAAAAAGAACTATTTATCCCTGAACTACTCCACTGAACTGATTACTTCTCACTAATCTATGCGGCTTTAATTTCTTCTTACCTCTAACATCAACTGGGTAAACTCCTCGTTGCTAAGAAATGAAGGCTTCCAGTCTTGTCTAATCTCACAGGCTTCTGTCTGTGCTGTGATTTCTTAAAGAGAAAACATCAAAAAAGCAACATGACTCATGCTAGTTGGACTTTTTTTTTTCATTTTCACGTAACATTAGATTTCTTTTAAGAGGCTTTCAGAGGAATCATCCTTAGATCATTCTCCACACAAAGTCTTCTTGAACGCAACAGTCATTTGCTGCACCATCACGACACAAACACATTAGAGATCAAGAAAAGGAAGAGGAGACGTTTTGAGTGGTCTGAAGAAACCCTTCAAAAATTAAGGTCAACAGGCTAATTTCAGAGTAGCTGAGTGTCACCATGAGCAGAGGGTGTCCACAACTCTGGAGCCATTGCAAGAAGGCTCACGGGAGGGCCCAGGCAGCAGCACAGGCTGCACCCAATCGTCTCCCACTCCAGGAGACCTGGGAACAGGGCACAGAAAACCCTTTCCCTGCCTTTTGTAGCACATGCTGCTGCTCAGCTCTTCCTCCCTTGTGCCCTCTTTGAGAGCGCACAAAGCATCCCCGGGGATGTGGAGGCCAGCGAGGGAAATGGAGCAATGTCACCACATTAAAAATCAAACAGTGCTGCAACTTTTCAGCAGGGCTGAACTGGTCAGCACCGTATTAAACCCAGCCCGTTTGTGGAAGCCAACTGCTGTCCCTTATTCTGCTCCTCGCTTAGGTTCATATCCTCTCTGGAGGTCTTAGATGCTTGGGAAAACCAGTTTTCATTTTCTGAGCAGGAACTGGCTGCTGGGCAGATGCAGAGCCAGCGCCTTCCATGGGAGCAGCCCAGTGCCCTCCAGTACCTTTCTGTTTCTGTAAGAAGTCGATGGTCCTCTGCAGTATCGTGGACTTGTCCATCTTGAGAGGGTGGCCATGGCCCTGCAGCATCGTGCAAAGCTCTTTAATGAGGACATTGAACTGGTCTCTCCTCTTCTTTTCAGATTTGTTGCGTGATGCCCTGAGTGACAGAAACATAACTGCTGCTAAATAAAATGTAGGACTTACGGGTCACCCTAGGGAGAGGGAAATGGCTCTGCCTCAGCAAAACACTATAAATACAAGGATCTAAACTCTGCTGGGACCACTCATTTGTTTAAAATCAGGCTCGGGCGTAAGTGCCTTGCTGGTGCCTAGGGCCTTGCAGCAGGACTGAGCTCACCATCAGCAAGGAACACCTGGAGGTAACAAATATGACTTACATTCACTTGAGCAAGACCATATCCTTGTGTACATTTCAGCAGCAATGATAACGAGGTGAAGGTGTTATGGGTGAAATTTATCCAGTAAGAGAAGTCCTGGCATCTACACGCTCGCATTTTTCCCACCTCATTTTTATTAACTTTTGTTTTGCAGTTAGTACACACACATATAAAGGTCCAAATGTGAAGGATTCCTTATTCCCTGACTTGTACTTGCAAAAGTAGCTTACAGAGAGACAATGCTGTGCAGAGACAACTGAACTGCAGAAGGAAGTCAAGCACATGCTCTTCTATCTGGCTTTGAAAATCTGCTGCTGTGATATATGAAACTGGGAACGCTAAGAGTCTGGCTGCGGAAACCACAGACCAGTTTCCAGCTTTCGTTAATACAATTTAAGAATGTTTTATTAGGGTTTTCCCCTCCATTAAAACCAATAAAGGAGAAAGCAAATCCATCTAGTTTCTTCCAAAATGTTCTTTCCAATGCTCGTATCTGAGATAACCCTATTTTCATACAACCTCTTCCAGTAGTAATTAATTTTCTTTACAAGTGTATTTATGATGACACATGCTTCCTGAGATCTAGACCAAGCGTGGTATGCAGAAAGCATTTCCATTCATATTCAGGTTGGCATTTGGAGGTTCTCAGACCCAGCATTTACGTTTGCAGCCATTTCTGGTTTGGCACTTGTGTACGATGACTAATCAGAACCGAGCCAAACACTCCTCTGAAGGGAGACTAACTCGTACCGGTGCTAAAGCAGGACTGCTTGCTAAGTTTCATGGGGAACTCTACCCCAGGTGGGCAGTACTGCATGATGTCAACAACATCACAAGTCAGGAGTCCTGAATCAAGATAATAAATAGCCATGGGATAACATGAGGCTCTGAGGGCATGAAAACATAATTTAAGGACCACTCAGCTGATTAACCCATCTAGGAGTGGTCAAACACACTATGAGAAGCTTGAAAACGATGACTTAATCATGCTGTTTGTGGTCTGCTGTGCACAGCCTGTACACCACATGGGGGTTTTGCCTCTGACATCAGTGGTCCCAAGTACTTTTTCAAGTACCAGACAACACAGCATTTACAACTGTCCCCTGGGAGAGCTTCCACTCTCAGTCCTCGCCACATCCCTTCATACCTCTTTGCCCTGTCCTTCTCATCTTCATCCATCAGTTCGTTTACACAACACAGGGCTCTGGAAGGAAAAGACAGAAATACTGCCTGAGACATATTCCCTGATCTTGTTGAGGATATCACAATATGGAGCTTCCTGGTTTGTACTTTATGGCCTCCTGGAAGTTTCAATCTTCCCTTTCCCAAATTCCACGCTTGTTATGTAGTCTCTTGCTTGTTTTGTCAGCTACTGAGGCTTTGAGAAGGGAAACTGTTGCTATATGCCCAAACATCCAGCTACTTTAAAGCATGGCTTTAGAGGAAAAGAGCCAAGAGCCAGCAGCCCCTCACCCTGCCTTCGCACTCCCCTCTGCCACAGGACGGGGAACCCTGCCAAAGCACTGACCTCTGCATGGGAATCAGCACCTTGGCTGCAAATGCCAGAGTCAATCTCACTCTGATGTCTGTACCAGGCAGCACTGCGCCTGGTCCTCTTTTGGGAAATGAAACAGGCTGTTGGTTGATATCAAGCATTGCAATGCTTGAAAAGCATCTGAGATTTCTTTCCCAGTGGAAGGTCAGAGGAGGAAGAAGGAAACTGTGCTAATCCCCAGAAGGATTAGCATTAGGCAACAGCGGGGTATTATCAGAGCATCTAAGAGATGATATGATAGACAGGTTTATCCAAAGCACCCTGCAACCAAAGACTGCTGCTTGCGCTGGTGGACTTCCACCACATCATCTCATCTGTGTCCTACCACTGGGATTCATATCTAAGACTTCAAGTTAAACTTCCTCACCTGGCACTAACCAGTGAAAAGAAGGGAACGTGACCTGGGTTCTGTATGTCCCTGCACCAGAACAGCCATTGTACGCTGCTGTCTTTGCTTTATCTTAAGTGTTCCTGCAGCACAGGTAAGGAGAACTGTTGGCAACAACTCCCAGTAAGGACACAGTACTCTCAAGCCCTGTGAAACGATGGAAAATTCAACATGAGAGTAACTTTTTCACTGGTGACTTGCTTTCTGTGACTCAAATGGGCTAAGTGCAAGGGACAGGGAGCCAGGCAGATACAGGCAAACCAGCTGCCATCACGCCACATCACCCGGGTCAGCTCTGCTGGGTTGCACACCCCTTAGATACCTCTGAAGAGGAGACGGCACCTGTCCCTGGCGTCAGCACCAACCTGCCTCCATCTCTAGTGAGCACTTTCACTAGCAAAACCCTCCCACCCTGCCCAGCACCCAAGGGGCATTTTTCAATGAGTACATTCAAATGTTCTTCCCTGCTTTGAGACTATTGCAAGCTCAAATACCTCGGTGGCTGCAAAAGTAACATGAAATATAACTACCCACAACCAAGGGGAAGTCAAAGATGCTGCTCACAGTAAAAGCTACAAAAATGTACCCTTCCTCCCGCACTCCAGGGCAAGGATCTCCCCCTCTGCAGATGACCTGGGCGAAAGAAACGCTATGATTTCTTTTGTCCCAAAATAGGAACGCACTCCATGGGGAGAGAGTGGTTCTCACTGCCCAAGTCACTGAAAGCTACAAGCCAAATCAGAAATTACCTGTTCTATTCTTCAGATTCATCAGTCCAGACTGACAGAGTGGGATTAGCACTTCTTATCACCATGCAAATAGAGACAGAGAAAAATTAACCCTGGAAGGAAAAGCAAATCCAGTTAAAACACAGTTGCAGGCAAGACTTAGCCTAGAGAGCAGCAATCGCTTCAAGCTGAAGAAGTTTACCACCGTAAATTAGAAACATGCTCAAATATAACCGGTGAAAGCTCCGCAAAGCCTCCAGGAATGGGAGTTGGATCATGTTCTGGGGCTCCTGGCTCGGTGTGCACTACCTGCTGCCATAGAGGAAGCCTGGGAAGTCCAACTTGACCCTTTGTGTCCAAAAAGCCAAGTGGCCCAGCAGGGTGGAAAAACGGCCCTACTACCTTGGGGCCACTGAGGATCAATCTGAGTCCTTCCAAAGTTTGACAGTTTGCCTGGCATGTGTGCTGTGAAAACCAGTGAGTATGAGCCATACTTCACCCATCCAATCTTGCGACCAAAAACCTCACTCGAGATGAACATGACCAGGTAAAGTCAGAGCAAGCCACAGCCACCCACTTGTGGATGGATTTAAGGCCTCTCATTAAGTTTTGCCACTGATGGGACACGCACGTCTCCTTTTTGTTTGTGATTTAAACTGTTACTAATGAACACCCTGAACTCTTGACCATACCCACACCACAGCACCCATCTCTCTGGAATCATCGCTGTTGAAACTTGTTTGGCTTCAGATGAGCCTCATTCTCAGGAAGGATACGGATGCAACCAGGCTGTCCATGACTGACAGCCAAGTGCTGGGCTTCCAAATTTAACAAGCTTTTAATGCCCTTGAAGTGACCTCCCTGCTTCGAGCCCAAGTTCATGGCTGTTTTTCCTGTTATCATCAGCTTCCAGCTAATGTCAGCTCAAGGCACTGCAAAGAACTCACTGCCACTACCAGGGATGATGTATTTGTAACCATGGTGAGTGAGCAAACATACCCCCACATTTTTGATCATCTAAAGGACTAGCAAGAGCTTGTTCATTTCTCCAACTAGTGAAAATGCCTCAAAGGGAAGGAAACACAAGAAGGTGGCTGAAGAACCACAGCAAGAGACACAAATCAGGCATGCACGCTGGAAAGGGCAGGTGGGACGAGGTGGGGGTTGACATTGTGAAGGCACCGCTAAACACCATGAGCAACACAGATCCCGACCAGCAGTAGGGTGAGAGTGCTTTGTAGAGCAGGTTTACCTGAGTAACGTGAGACAACGGGCCAAATTCCTGCTCATTGCAGCTAAATGAAATTATGTCACTCTGTTTGCTCAAAAAAAAAATTGGCTCAGATAAAGTGTGATACAGTCGTTGCAAACAGTAATATGGGAGTTACCTGCAAGAGGCTTGAACCTCCTGACACAAGTACAGAAGTACAAGAGTAACATATAAAATATCTAATGTGTTTCAGCGGTAAGTGAATCAGTAAAAAGTGCAGTTGGGATGAAGCGATGGTTTTCAGTTTGGAACATGAACTTCCAGGGAAAACCTCACGCAACTCCCCATATCCTTATTGAAGCCGCAACAGAAACCAACACCTACAAAACAAGTTTAAACATAGTGGATCTGCTATGTCTCTGTTCTCACAGTCATCGTACGCTGGTCAAGTCACAAGCTTTTATCCCAGTTCAAAAGGAGCGTGTGATCTTTTTTGTTACCCTGTTGAGCTACGACAGAACCGAGGTGCTTATCTTAGTTGCTGCTGCTCATCGGTAAGTGCTGCATTATCAAAATTATAGTTGTTTCTTTTCTAGAAGAATGACCCATACAGAAGTTTTGCTAACTTGTAATAATTTCAGAGATACGTAGGTATGACGAAAATTCTTTTTAAAGCAATGAGTTGAATTCTAAAAAAATGCTTGTGGGTACGCAAACAGATCTATCACATTTTTCAGGAAACGTATTTTCTATACGGGCTGAAGTATGCAAAAATTCAGCCAAACAAAAGGATTATTCCTGAGCTTTGAGTGCAAAGCTTTACGCAGAAACCTTCATGCTGCCTTGCCCATAGGTTGTCTCACAACCCAAAACTCCTGGGAAGCCTGACAGGTTTTCTGCCTCATACGTGTGGTTGCCCTCCCAGCCAGCTTGAACAGCAGTAAGTTGAGGGAAGCTGTTTCATCACTGAGACAGACAATGGTCCAGTTAATGCTCACCGAGTCTAAACTGGGAAACGAAGCCCCAGATTCTCCAGTCTCTAGCCACAGCTATCACATCCCGCTGCTGTACGGCTGGTGTGAGCTGCAAGGGACAGAGGAACGTGGCTTCCTAGATCAGTTCCAGTGGGATCCCCCCAATGAACATGAGAGATGTCCCCAGTCAACACCAGACTTCGAGGCTCTAACAGAATAAATAGCCATAAAAGAATTCACGGGCCCAAACACCCGGAGAAGCTTTTTGCATGATGCAGCAGGACGGTGAGCTACAAAAAGTCTTAGTAGAAGACACCTAAGGACAAAATATTCTTAACCGGATTAAGCACTTCAGGACTACATTTAGCTAAGTGCTTTTTGTCTTGTTATGAGCCAGGGCTAAATATAGTAACCAGAATACTTAAGAATAGTTTCATAAGGGTTGTATACACTCCTCAGCCAGATAAGGCACTTAGCACTACTGACAGCAGTATGTCTGCATGTTAAGAGTATTTTAAATAGCTGCAGATAGAATCTCTTTGACCTTAACTGTATTAACCAGAGGGATCGAAATTTATTTATTGCCTCCTGAAAATCCTTTCCTGCAGCGCTTGGAGAGAAGGATTCCTGAACTCTATGGGTAGGTAAAAAGAGAGGACACTTGTCAGTGTCACCGGTGTTTTTCATCCCACCTACAACAGGTGAGGATCAGCTTTATCGCCAAGAAATGCACATTGGTCATTGCTTAATGCCCTCTGTAAAGGGGAAAGATTTTTTTCTTCCCTTGCACAGGGAAGAAGAAAACCACTCACAGCATTTTAAAGGCAAGTTATATTTTATACTTTTCAAATATCACAGGATTCAAAGCTGTTTCCAGGGTTACGGAAAGGGTAATGTACTATGACAGCCTTAACAGGACAGATGGACTTCTCAGACACACAGCTAATAGTTAAAGCACTGTTCTACGCTATCTGCAATATTCACACACATTTTTTACTGAACAGAGAATGGGAGAGGGAATTTGTTTAAAATTCTTCGCTTTGCAGAACTGTCTAACTTCAGGAGCTATCTAAAACCGCAAACTTTCGACTAAATAAAATGTTTGTTTATTGGCTTGTTGCAAACCATCAAAATATTAACATTACCTTAGGATAACTCTTACTGGAACACCACATTAGTAAGAATTATCCCCTGGAGCCAACGGTTCCTATGAATGCTTCATTATAGCTTTAATTTGAATTATTTGGTTATGTCACTGATGGCAAGGCAAAGATCACTCTATGAGTGTAATGCTGCACATGACTTTGTGATCAGCAATAAGAAA